TAATTAATTGCCGACTTCCCCAATGCGTCTGGCAATAACACCTTCCTCTCAAGCTATAAGATAATTTTGGGAGTGACTGGGTATTTCAAAATATATGATAATTTAATAAAAATAAAATTTCATTAAATGTGCATGTATAGTATTACCTTTCACTCTCAATCTCCTCTCTTCAATCGTTCAAGGTTATATTACATGAAAGGTATTTTAAAAAAATTATACTTTTGTTTTAAATAAATAAGATTATAAATTATATTTTATAAGCTTTATTGATATGTGTAATTTTATCTAAATTTATCTTATATTCCCTCCTATCCCTATTACAAGGTACTCCTATACTCCCTTCCTCATAAGTAAGGAAACGTGGTTAAATCATTAATTTTAATTAAAAAATCTAATAAACTTTCAATTTGACCTCTATCTAAATAAAAAAAATTAAATTTATATTACATTCTTCTCATATTTAATGAGTTTAAATAAAATCAAGTTGGGAGAGTAAATTGGGATAGAGGGAGGATTAGGATTGGCTCTTCAATTTCTTTATCCTTTGCTTTATTATTGATTGTCACCCCGCTGCTCAATCGAATTAATTTTCATGACCTATGCTCATTAAACCACAGTTTTAATGGTACAACGGCCACTAGACTCTCTGCAACATGTAGGTTAGTATCTTAGTTTCTGCTGTAACGCGTAGAAATCTTAGTTTCTGCAGTAACGCGTAGAAACACGCAATTCTCCCCCTTTATTCCTTACATACTCCTTGATCCAAACAGCAAAAACTACGTAGTAATATGACAAAATAATTTTTTAAAAACAGCATTTCTCCATGTAACTCGTACTAAAATTCTCTGTTCTCCCAAACATCTCCAGTGTGACTGTACATTATTTAATGCGGGAAATCTCATATGTCATATCCGATACGATTAAACTTGGATCTTTGAACTTTCATACATGTAAATTTGTACTGTCCTCCATCCCGATTTATTTAAGCAATGAATGTGATTAAAAGAGTTGCGTTTCCTGTTTCTGTTCTACAGTCCCGACCTGTATTTACAAAGGAATGAATGTGATTAGAGGTCGTGTTTAGATCATCTCAAGTCTTCAATTTTGCCTCAGCGAAGCCTAGGATTTTTGGTTGGGCAATTGATCACCACCCATATGCATGCATTCAGCAGTGCCCTTGCATTGTTTGGTTGGTGGCTGTACTTTTTTTGTAGGTGCAATTAATTAATGCATGTGTATATATATAATTTTGCCTTTAGTGGTTTCAAACTTTGAACTTTTATATGCATTGGGCTTCATTATCTTCCGCATTCAACTTTAAAAGAATAATGATTTTTGTATCATGATCAATGTTCCACCACAGTCGTTATAATGTTTCTATAATTTATTACTCTTACCTTTGTTCTATACTAATTATTTAGCGCGAGACTAAGTTTATAATGTTTACCGTGTATAAAAAGAACAAGTCAATATTCACTATGCCAAAGCAATAAAGTAGCGTTTTACGCTGCTTAACCCACAAAACATACGTCCTATATTCGCTTGAGTACATGTTAGATTGATATTGAAAGCCCGATCAAATGGCATAAAAATATTAATTGCTTGATCTTCCATTAATGTTGGACACGGATCTTTAAATGCATATTGTTCATTGAATATATATATATATATATATATATAGTTATTATTGGTAGATTATTTATTATGAACTTTAAACACCTTCTTACTTCAGTACCGGAGTTGGTAGGCGTCCTGATGAGAACTATATAGTATATTTGGAATTAAATTTTTCTTTTATCATCAAGAAAAAAGAAAGATAACGAAAGGAATAATAATGAATATGTATATCTTCTTGAATAAATGTTCAGAATATTCGTCTATATTAATTTCTAAACGTTTTTTGGCCCGGTTTATTGATTCTGATGGGATCGCGGAAGGAAGATATATAATTCTACTGTTTAAGAATATTGGCAGGGCAGTTTGGGTTGTTGTATGAATTGTATTCGTTCTCCTTTCTCCAACCAACATCATAAAAAGGTAATTAAATAACGTAGCATTGAAAAATATTTTCCAATCTTCGACTATATATCAGCTTCACGAAGAGGGATATATACTCTCGCAGGCATACTAGTTACTACAGTGGACGTATTCTATGGCTTAGTTTCCATATAAATGTGATACCGTATAAGCCATAGTTGACTCAATTTCCTTGACAGAATACATAAATTTTAACGAGTCAACTTGCCAGTTTGGTAACTAATTCATGCAATACATTTGATATTTGGTATTTTTATTTTTATTCTTCAAATTTACTTCTACTATAGAATTATATTATATTTTTAGGAAGCTGATCTGACAAATTTGGCTTGTGATTGGAGTTATATTTTAGTTTGAGAAATTTGGCTTCTGTTAAGCTGCATTTTTTTTTATGTTTAATTTAAAGAATAAGTCGACATGCATGTACCTTTTCGTCAAATGCACGAAACCGAATGTTGCGCGAGCAGCAGGCTGGTTATTGATACCCTGAAGCTGAAATAGTTCATGATTGATGACATTGAACCTGGGGCATTATTTTTACTTGTAAAAATAGAGATGTCCCCTAAATGAAATGCACTTCTCATCTGGGCCATCTACATGAAATCTAAATCATGGATTGGATCTTCTTTTTCTATTTACACTTTATTAAAATTTTTAAGCTAAAGTGTATTTTTTTACATAAATTTCAGTTTAGTTTCTTAATTTTATAAAATATATTTTTAATTTTTTAACTCTAACTTTATTAGTTTCAAATGATTACTTTTTATGTCAATCATTATTTTAAAAAATTAAACTTAATATATTAACATTTAATAATGTTTTTTTCATATTCTAAAATTCAATATAAGATTTTTTTTTTTTAATGAAACTAAACTGTATTAAAGTTAAAGGATTAAAAAAATATTTTATAAAATTAAGGGATATTGAAACTTTGGTAAAGTTCAAGGATTACCAGTGCACTTTAGCCATATTTTTATTTTAAATGATGCAAAAATACAAAAGAGTAACAGTAATAATACCAATCTCATGAGTAGTTGTTATCAACTTACAAAATATATAATATTATAACTTTAAAAAATAAATTAATAAAATATGAACCGTTTAATTCTCATCTGAACGGTCCTGATGGAAGGCACACTACCACGTGCATTCAATTTCGGCTGTGTCTTTTTTCCCCCCTTGGGCTGCACTGTCCAAGTGGCATGAATGGCCTTACTCAAAGCTTAGGCCCAAAAAAATGAGACTGGGGAGACCCAATTCTGGATCGTATTTTGGCACGGAAATCCGTCAAACACATATAAATTTGCAAATTTCTTTCTTTCTTTCTTAAACTAGCTAGCTACTGGTTTTACTGACATAGAGTATGTATTAATCTCTGGTCAAACAAAAGATATATATATATATATATATATTAATTATTCCTAGGTTGACTTGTTTGTTGTGTCATTAATTATAATTCATTTTGTGGCAAATTAATTATTAAATTATCTTAATCTTATTTTGTTATTTGTGGTTATACTATTAACTTATTGAAAAATAAATTATCAAAGTGCCTAATCCATATAAAAAACATGTAGCTTATAGAATATTGCAGTAAGTATACGACCTTTTTTTAAACAAACACAAGGAAACAAAAAGCAAACACGGAAGGAAGCATATAAAACAAGATGATCAAGAGACTATGAGGTTGTTTTTATTAATGTCTGTGGAACTAAAATTTGCACAAATTACAAATTGAAGTTGGGACAAAAGTTAGTTACTTTAATTTAATTTATGTTTGGACATTCTTGTGTAAAAGAGTTGGATGATATAATTAAAAAACAGATTTAGATCTATGATGGCTGAAAAGAACATGAGCTTCATGTCACACGCACATTTTTTTTTATAAGTACGCAATTTGATAAATCTAAGAAAAAAGATTTACAAATACTAAAAAACCTATTTAGATTTACTTAAATCTAACTTTTGATTTAACTATAGTTAAAAAAGAAAAATTTATTTGCCAATTACTCTTACCAAAGCATCTTTTCCCCCACTCTTAACCAGCTTTTATACTTCCAAACTACAACTCGAACCAACTAAATGGGATCCCAAACAAGCATTATATATAACTCCATCAGCCAATCACGAAAGCTCCAAATGAAAATCTCAGCCATAAGGTAGTAATCCACCCAGACCGGGTCCGTATATCTACTTCAAATTTGAGGCATTTATTGCAATAGGCCGTTTAATTCCTCGATCTCTCGTCGAGAGCCGAGAATAAATCAAACTTTCTAACGGCATTCTAAACCGTCAACATGTCCTCCACAACATTAATCACTAGGATGTTATAACTGCAAGGATACGTTTTGTGTGTGTAATATAATAGGCACATAATTATACAATCACAAAACTTGATCACGGTTATATATTAATTCGTGAATTTAATGCATGCAGCATTTTTTTTTTCAATTCCAACTAATTATTGCTATCATACTCAAAATTTACATCAGTAGCTAGGGTTCGAATAATACCACGCTGTCATGTGTGTGTATCTAAAATAAACTGTTTTATAAAAAAATTCTGAAATTTTAAACTTTAATAGGAAAAGTAAATATTGCATCTATGATTAAAAAAGTTTGACAGTAAATTAATACATATAAAAAGGTGTTATAGGCCTAATCAAAATATAATTTCCAACTGATTAACTGTATTGAGTTGAAAGGGGGAGTTGATCCGATGAGGAAAAGATAGCTTCCAATTCCGAACTTGCTCCCCTTCTCAATCCACAAAGGTCAACCCACTCCATGTCTATGTTTTGTTTGCAGCTCGCACTCATTTTCTCTCTCTAGGTATATAGCCTTGGTTTTCTTTTGCAGTTTCAACTGTTGATGTAACTTCCTCTCAACATCCCCTGGCCCACCCTCAAGATTCTATATCATGCTGTTCCCTTTAATTTCGTCCACATTCTAATTCACATATCATCGCCATTTTCTCTTCCCCTTTTAAATCCCTCCCTTTTCCTTCCCTCCTGAACCCTTCTACTCGATCCTTAGCCACGGCTGGATCGCTATCTGGACTCATCTTCCATGGCCAAACCAGCATCTTCGTCTAAGAAAGACCTCATAGTCCGTGCTGATCATGAGGATCAGGAGGAAAGTGGGTGGACTTCTTACTTCGAAGATTTATCGTCAAATACAGGTTCTTCTTGTTTCAGTTTGTGTAGTGGGGGCTCTTCTTCTTTGGTCTCGGATGCTGCTTCTTGTGCTGCATGCAAATTCTCTCACCACCACAACCATCGTCTTCTTTCCTCCCTCTCTTCAAATAATTACGGGGTTCCCCCAAATCATCCTGATATGAAGCTCAGATTCAAGAAATCACGGACCAAGAAAGTTTCACATGATGATGATGATGATCCTTTGGAGGACACTGCTACTTCTCCTCTCAACAGTCCCAAGGTAATATATCTGATTCATCTTCTTTTATTTCCTCTCCAATCTTCTGCTGTGATGTTATTTATTATTAATTAATTACCTCTTGTTTTTAGGATGGAGATCAATTGGATCCAACCGTGACGATTCCTACAAAGACAGCTGATCATCTATCTGATGATTCCACGGTAAGCTCAGATCATTAGTTTAGTATGTAAACTGTTTTCTGAAATTAGTTAATCAGCAGAAGCAACTGATATTTTCTGATCATCTAATTTTAACCATGCTGGTGATATTCTCTAGGGTAAGGGATTTACATCAGAGCATGTTTCAGATTTGAAGAGAGATCATGGAGCTCACAGTAAGGATGAAAAGAATAGCAGAGGAAAGAACAGCATGAGCTACACAGACCTGAAGAAAAGAGGACTCAGTTTGTTTCCCTTGTCCATGTTGGTTAATTATTTTGGATGACTTCTTGTCCATGTAGCGTTTTTATTTCTCTCTGTCCTCCCCCTCCTTCGTATGTCTTTTGGCCGCCTTCTTTGTAGTTGAAATCATAAAGCTGTATACACAATACAATGGCCATGTGTTTTGATTGTAATGGCGAGGAGAGAGCTGTTTAAGTTTGGCGTAGGTTAAAAGCTTAAGGAATTATAATGTATTATTATTATCGGTGTAGCATATAATAGCGAGGTCTCTATCATTTCATGATTTATTTTGTTTGGAGGAAGTGTCAGAGTGTGATGACCTTATTTAGCAACTTGGCACCTATTTTCTGGTTCAAAGGTTAATAGCATTTAATTAATTTTATAATTTTATTATTTGCAATCTGGAGAGTAATATAATTGAAACCTGCAGCGAGCCAGATTTCACATGATAAATGCCTAAACTATGAAATAATGAGTAGGATCTAAAAGATTAAATTTTAGGTTATTACAGTGGACACATTGATTGAGAGCTAATAATAGTGATTCACTTTTAAATAAATTTCCTGCAATTAAATTTGACAACAAGGTCTAACGTGACTTGTGATAGGATTTTTATAAATATACACGCATAACTATTTGCCTAGGTTAGATTTTGAGGATTATCATGTTTAATTGGGAGTAGTTAGAAGTCTTTTACAGTCACACAAACTTAAATCCAAGACCTTGTATTTAAGTCATAATTTTTTCACCATAACCAGTACCTGGTGGTGTGATAGGAAAAAAATTGACAATACTTTTTTTTTGATAAAAAAATTCAAAACAATGGATATTAAGAAACGAGAAATTAGTAATTGAATATTGGCTAGCTGAAGAGGCAAATAAATTGTGTTCTGTAATATTGAGTAGGAAGCTAATCTTAATTAATTAAGTAACATAATATATACGGGTTTAGATTTGTCAAACAGAGAATAAGAAGCCAGAACCCAGGAGGAAGAAGAAAGTGTGGCTGTAGAGGAATAAGAATTGAATTGAATGGATATATTAATATAAGGGACATTAATTTAACTAAGAGGAAAAGTAGATTGATAGGTTTAAATATTATTAATACTTCTCCTACCTCCTGCAGGCCATTGATTTTAATTAAAAATATTAAGAAACGGCTGCAACAGAAGACCCCTCCATGTGCTGAAGCATTAATTTACAACAGAGAGCACAGACGCCTTCAGGACATTCTCACTTAAAAATTCCACCAGCAAATGTTGTCTTTGACCACTCTCTATTATTATTCACTCTTCTACACGTACATCTTCCCACAACCATTTATATTTATTCTTCTTATTCATTATTAATAAGTTGGAATATCTTTTTACTTGTGTAGGAAGTGAATTTTTTATAACCAAGGTTCTTGATTAATTTCCTCCTTTATTGAAGGTGAAATTTGATTGCAGGGACCTAATTTCAATTTTGGAAGAATGACATTTGGATTCCTTAACTATAAGGGAATTATTAACACTCTGGTTCTTAGTTGAAATAGAAAGTTATTAATTAATAAAGTATATCTGGTAGTAAATCTTTAAAAAGGTCATGTGTTTAAAGGACAAAAGTGTCAATAACTCCCTTATAAGGGACCCAAATATAATTTTCTCCAGTTTTTGCCATATGTCAAGGAGATATCAAAATTTCAACTGATCATGTGACATTTGAACAATGGTAGTTATTATATATATATATATATATATATGCAAAAAAGGGAAAAGAAAAGAAAAGAAACACACGGAATGGTAGTTACTATCCAGTGGCAGGCACTACTACATATACATATTGATACCCTTAAAAATTTAAATTTTTTATCCTGCAAAATTTGATCTGTCTGTTGAATTACTGTTTGTGATATTAATTAAGGAGCATAACTCAATAATTTAGTGAATAAAATTGTTTCATGCACGTACGTGATGAATATCACAAGTGGTGCAATATATATTAGTTGGATTTGAATTCAATAAATAACCTAAATATACTTACTTAATAAGTGCTTCACGTGGCACAATAACAACCACTTAACTTAATGAAACGGCATTCGAATCATATGTTAGCATGTGACATTTAGAATCACCAAATCTCAAACTTCTGGAGGGGATAACAAACTGAATGAGGAAGGTTCTGATCACAAGGATTATTTTGAATTTTTTGATAAAAATGTATTTTGATAATTTTAAAGTGATGATGAAATCTAATAATTATAGTTAAGATATTTATTGAGTGAGTGTATTTATGTCACTTACCAGATTTAAATCATTAATCAGGTTGCCGCCACCATTAAATTGAGTATCTTCACTGTCTTACATATTATTCGACATAACCAATAACTTCGTACACAATTACACACAATCCTTGTGATCAGAACATACACACAACGAATCAAGGTGTGCACCGAAAGGTCGTCACCATAAACTGGTTCACACCCACGTAGCTAACCGATCTCTAGTCACCATCATAATATATTCATATATATATATATATATAATGCAAAAAGGGGCGACCTTGACAAAGACTTTGTATTCCGCGGCATGATCCAATGTTTTGCTCATCCATAAAGGTGGATTAAACTGCTAATTATTAATCAGTATCCAGAAACCCAAAAAAAAAAGGTTTAACTTCATCAATAATATGATAATATCAATTAGTGTGAACCCATGCACCTGGCCATATATTGGTTAACATCACAGGTTAGGTAATCAATCAAATGGTTAACAACTATTAATAATGATGCGATTTGTGTTTTGGAGTGGTAGATCAACGGTCTAGTTACCTCGCCTTTACTGAAAATTGTAACTCCGTTTTGTTAAATGTATCACATTTTGCCCTTATCAATTAACAATAGTCATAAAAACTGGATAATTTTAGCCGCCGAACTATAAGCAAAATTTTCTCGAGTTTTGTCGTGTAATGTTTCTTTCTGATATAATGCTTATCCAGCATGAAACATCATTTTTAAGCACTCATCATATTTTGCAAATTAGGTATTTAAGTACAAAGCACAACCATCCTATTTGATAGGATTAGGTGCAACGTCTTGTGTAAATTTCAAAATTTTCAATTTTCGTTTTCGCTTTATCTTAAGTATGAGTAAGACCTTTTGGATAATTGTTTCATATATATTATTGATTAATATTTCTAGCTTTGGAAGAATAATATATATGATGTAACAGTCACGAGGGCATGAGGCTAACTTTGGAGTTTATATTGTATAACTATAAAATTGTATTTTGTCACCAGCTATATTTTAAGTTAATGACTAATCAACTGATGACTGGCTGGAGCTTGGACCATATATTACTAAATAAAGAGCCATATTTACTATCTAATCAATATCTCGTGTTCGGATAGTACCCTATTTAGATAATTCAGTGATCATTGTTCTCCAAACAGTATTTCCATATATATATATATATATATACACATTTAATTTGAAGCTTGAAAAATTGGACTGGCTGGACTTAATATTCAGGGCATCTTTGACATGAAAACTTGTGGACTCACATTTGATGAGAAGATTGTTAAGTTGTCTGAATATAAGTGAATTTAAATCGATGTGGGAAGTTTCACGTATAAGATAAAATTGAATTTAATAATTAATATATAATAAAATAAAATTTAAAAATTTTTTAAATTTTAAATAAATTTTGAGTTAAGATGTGATGCTTCCTCTCCTCTCATTCTGGACAATATGCAAAATTAGTTTAGAAGGAAGCAAGGGAATCTAGTTGACGTGCCTCCTCTTCCTCTAAAAGGAGATTTGAAAATAGAGTAATTGCAGTTGTCAAGGATCTTCATCTTATCTTTACACACACACAGTTCTTCATTTTTTATATTGTCAGTACTAAATCGGGCAAACTATATTTTATATATGATATGTCACATGTGTGTGTGTGTGTGTGTGGAGGCAGGTAGAAAGCGAAGCAAAAGGAATAGGTGAAGGAAGTTGTCAAATACAGTGGCCCCCCATGCAGCGAAGGAATAGAACAATTAATAAAGCAGCATGTGCCACCCTTTGACACTCCAAGCTAGGTGGCTACCCCATTCCTTTGTCAAGAGTCAATTGCCTACTTTACTTATTATATTGTATTGCATTTGCTTTGATGACGTGTGTATTTGTATTAATTGATCCCGTGACAAGGAATTATAAGCCCCATGTCATTATTCTTTCCCCCAAACCCAGGATTACTTGTGAATGCAAGCAAAGTTTTTGAAAATCAATCGGCACTTTCTCTCACTATATTTCTTGGCAACACCCTTTCATTTCTCTCTATACTCTAACCCACTCGCCTGCAGACTTCGATATACGTTGTTTGTGAGAAAATTAGATTATGTTTTTTTTTAAAAAAAAGTGAATGTTTCATCATGTGTTGTTTTTTTAATCCAACTTACCATGGATTTTTAGTAACAAAAAATTGATATATTACGAAATTCTACTTTGTTCTGAATCTTGTTTGAGTTTGACCATCTTATACTACCCTTTTATTTCTTGTTCACGGATTTTGAAGTCAAATAATTTAGTTATTCAATATAAAGCGCATGATATATTATGAGTTTTTTTTTATTGTTACATAAATCATGCAACCTTAGCTATATACCTAACACTAGTACGTATATGAAATGGGCCATGACGAAAAGTAAAAATATAATCATGATAAATACTATACTGTATTAAATAAAATTGAATGTTAAAGGGAGGCCGGAGTTTTTTATGGACCAACGACATATCAAGTATATAGGAAGATGAATGTCCTACTTAATTATCTACTTAATTAAAAATGAATCAAAATCATGAAAACAACAAATTTCCAGAGATCATGGGATGAAGTGAAATGCATTTATATATATTCCATCCCGACTATAATATCAAAAAAATTTTAGAGATCATAATTTATTCAAAATATAAGATATTAGGTATTGCTTATAATTCTTCCCAACTATGCTCCTACTTCATATATTATTTGTTTAAAAAAATGATCCATTTTAATCATCATCATTGTAACACTTAATTATATAAGATATTGAATGAAGATGTAATTCAAAAGATATACAACTTTCAACAAAAATTAACATTCAATTAACTTTTTTGATAATTCTCTTCATCTCAATTTACAAGACACCTTTAAATAAAAGTATGCATACCAATAAAATTCATTAAATACACTTCACAATCTTATTTTGTTCAAAATAAAAACATAAATCTCCAAAATTAAGTCTTAATTTTGTCAAAGGCTTTTACTCTGTCAATCTGGCAAAAGAGGGAAGC